GCAGGGCGTCGATATCAAAGTGTTCGGGGCAAAGGTATAGAGAAGGACCTCACTTAACTGTCAGTAGACTGTGGATCGTGTCATATGGGGTTTTATCTTGGCATACGTTTACAGGCTGTTGCAGGAATTACACTGTCAACAGCAATTACTTCACACGACCTCACGCCTACCCTGCTCTTAACACAAGCAACATTCAAGGAGTTTTTCGTTCAGAAGATGAAGAGCAGTTCGCGCCTCACGGGGTTGTCGCTATTATGAGAATTTCGGTCTGGTGAGAATTGAATATACAGTAGATGTGCTAACTCATGAAATGTCAACCAAAATTTCGAAATGCGTTCTCGTTTCGAAAAGATGAATTAAGTAGTGTTGTAAAACTAATCAGGATGCAGCATAAATCTATAATGATCCAGTTACCACACGGTGTCGGCTTTCGAAAGAACTTATTTTCGGCTGCATGCAAGATATATATTCTGCAAAAAATGACTACTTATGTAGTACGCACTTTTCTCATTGATTTTCGATGCCTTTGAAAATTCAATTATATTTCATGGAAAGCATGCGTAAAATATTCATTCTTTTACTTATTCGGTAGAAAATCACGTCTTCTTCCAATTTCATACTCAAAATGAGAGTATAATTCGGTTTCAAAAAGTTTCTAATTGTGAGATTTTTTAATACCGTTAAATGGCCGTTCATGAAACATCATGCATCTGCATTTACGAATGTGGCTTGTAAAGTTGGCAATATTGCTCAAATCCACTGCTTAATTTTATGAACCTTATATGGTCTCCTCTTAACACCGTAGAGAAATGCATGGTTTTCCGTACACGGAAAATATACAGCTTGCAGTTTTGAAACCCTGAATGCAAGTGTAACAGTAGGTCGGGTTCAAAATTATTCGAAAAATAGAAAAGTTTTTAAAAACCGAATTATACTCTTATTTTGAGTATGAAATTGGAAGAAGACGTGATTTTCTACCGAAAAAGTAAAAGAATGAATATTTTACGCATGCTTTCCATGAAATATTATTGAATTTTCAAGGGCATCGAAAATCAATGAGAAAATTGCATACTACTCAAGTAGTCATTCTTTGCAGAATATAGATCTTGCAGGCAGCCAAAAATAAGTTCTTTCGAAAGCCGACACCCTGTGGTAACTGGATCATTATAGATTTATGCTGCATTCTGATTAGTTTTACAACACTACTTAATTTATCTTTTCGAAACGAGAACGCATTTAGAAATTTTGGTTGACATTTCATGAGTTAGCACATCTACTGTACGGTTGGGTCACGTCGACTGAGCCGCCACCTGAGAGCTAGCGTCTCACCTCCTCACTGCTGCTCCGTTCTCGTCAATTCATGTACGGAGTAATCTCCCAGTTTCTCCGACGTATTCGCTTTGTCCGCAACTGCACCAGATCCGGTAAACGACTCCAGACGTTTCCTACCGTGGCAGCGGGTCTTACGACCTCATGACTTGGCGCCTAATGGTTGCTTCCGACCTGTGTGCAACCTCAACCCCAAGTGGAGTGAGAAGACGATTGACGCCTTTAGAGACGTTCTTCAAGTACGGTTGAGTTTGGTCTTTGATGTCGTTTTCGAATGCACTGGTTGACAAATTTGCGCGGTTAAGCATTGGTTCTCAGTTCCCGTCGAAGATTAACGACTCGGAGGCGGACTGACAAACTACCATCGCGTCAATTACGACCCCAGCGATGATTGCTAGAGCCGTTAATTACAGAGCGCATATGGTCCCACGGTAGCCACGTGCTATAAACACTGCACTCCTAGTGCCACCATTACCCTTATCTGCTACTGTCTCTGAAGGATGGATTCGTGTGAGAATCCGAAACGTCAGGCCAATAAATTTCTCGTTCCAGCGATCGCATCTTCTTCTTCTTCTGAACACCTACCTGGAACTCGCCTGTTCGCTTCTATCAGCAGTTTTTTCGTTATTACAGCGGAGGCTCTGAACACGGCAACAGTAGTCCAAATGGTTCAGTCCGCTGAGCAACGTCCCGAACGGATATTTAAGGGTCAGAAGTAAAGGAAAAGATTAAACTATTAAAGAAGGAGAAACGATCGCTGGGACAAGAGCTTTCAGATTCCTGCCCGAACAAATCATCAGACACAAAAGCAGATACGGTTGGCTCATACACAAGGGGCTGCAGTATTTGTAGGACGCAGTAGCCATGCTACTGCTCCCCCCTTCATCAGGGAGCTCCCGGCTCATGAGGTTGTCACCTCTTGCAAGAAGTTCGGTTCCCCCCTTTCATCCGTGATCGTCACACTTGATGTGCTAATTGTCTGATAGCCGACAGTCGCATCGTTAATTGCTGCAATTTCATCATGTGCGTTGGATGTTGGTGTGATAATGGCTTGTCTCCTTCTTCAAGATGGCTTGAAACCATCGATCCTGGCGTTGGGAAGAGCGTTTACCTGTGTGCTACCCGCGTGACTAACTACTCCGCCTAGGCGAAGTCGCAGCTCTGAGTGTGGAAGGGGAAGGTCATTGCACTTGTTAATGAACTGGAGGCCAGTAAACCATGACTCAAGCAAGTCCCGCCTCACGCGGTTGTCATATTTTGCGAGAATTTCGGTCTTGTCTTATTTGAATGCGTGGCCGGATCCCGTCGAATGAGCCGCATCTTGAGTGCCGGCGTAATTTCTCCGCACCGCTGCAGCCTGTTCGGCCAACCTCGTTCGGAGCTGTCTTCCGGTTCCTCCGACGTGTAGTTGCTTTGTCCACAACTGCACCAGATCCGATAACCGGCTCCTGACGTTTCTTGCTGTGGCAGTGGATCTTTCGGTTTCATTGCCTGACGCCTGATGATTGCCCCCGGTCGGTGTGCAAATTCAGCCCCAAGTGGTGCGAGAAGGCGGCTGATAGCTTCCGAAAACGTTCCTGACATATGGAAGCGCTCGCCAAAATTTGGTGTCCGTGCGGTTAAACCTTTCGTTCCTTTTGCGTATGCACCGTTTGACGAAGTTGCGCGGCTAGCTATTGGCTTTGAAGACCAGCCGGAGGTATTTTAGTTCGTCAAACTTGTCTTCGGGCTCACTGCAGTGCGTTTCGACACGCCGAATGAGCTTTCTTACACAGCTGCGTTTGTGGCTGATTGGGTGGTTGGTGTTAAATTTCAGTACTTCGTCGTATTTGTCGCTCTCCTGAACGCTTTGGTCTTTAGTCCTTCACAATCTTTGCGGCATACGAGGACATCCAGGAAGGCCAGCCGATTGTTCTCTTCCTCCTCCATCGTAAATTAAATGTTCGAGGAGACCTCATTCAGATGTTCCTTGAATGTCAGCAGTTGATTCCGGTCGATAACGACGAAGGCATCATCCGCATACCGGGTCCAGAATTTCGGTCTGTGGTGTTGCAAGACCAGCGACTCTAACCGTTGAAGGACCGCCTCGGCGATGAATCCCGAAATCGGCGAACCCATTAGCGTGTCCTTCACCAGTTCGTAGATTGTTCTGTCGAGCGTGAAGTACGTCCTGAGACAGAACTTCAGGAGCTAAAGGACTTGGCCGTGTCCAAGAAGATTCTCGGTTTCATCGGGCAGGGATCCGAAACGTCAGGCGAATAAAGCTCTTGTACCAGCGATCGTTCCTTTTTCTTCATGACTGCTTCCTGGGACTCGTCTCTTCGCTTGTATTGGTAGTCTCAACTATGTTATATTTATTGCCGCTTCCGGTCAATATGGGGGCGTTTTGCCTGGAAATATGCCTGTGGAGCTTGGAAGGCAGGCGGACGTTCGATTCTGCAGTGTTTTCGGTTCATGCAATATATAAGGACCTCGACAGTCGGAGTCTTATTTCTTCTCGAGTTGTAAAAATAAATTTTTGACCATAAAGTCATACTTTGGATCTACCTACAACGTGGGAGCCCCAGACCAATGTAACCGATCAAACCGCTGCTCAGAACATGTGTGCTCGCCTACACGCAATCCGATAAGCCTGTCAACTTACGCAAATTCCGACAGTCCAGTTGTTGAATATTTTCCGACCTGACTTTGGTCAGGCTGTCTTCACGGGAATATTCACAGTAAGAATTTTTTTCCAAAGAACTTATTATAGGAGAAGACGATGTTGACAAAAGCATCTGACCGCTTTATTATGCTATTTCTGATTTTTATGAGCGTTGTTTAAACTTAAGAAATCCGAATTGACGCTCCTGTACTCGATTCCGTCAGTTGCTTGTTCCACATGTGGGTTGGAGTCCTGAAATTCCGTCGTAGCTTCTATGACACGTTCTTCTGTTTATATCCCAGATAGCTTTGGGAAATTCTTCACAGAACCCTAAAATACTAATAAGACTTGATACCCTAAGAGCGTCCTGCGTCTGAGAAAACCGAGATATGGGGACGGGTGTCCGCTAAGACTGGTGGATACCCAGTGGGGGGCTGATCAAACGTCAGCGAATGGGCCTATCACACTCCCGTTCTCATTATAAAGCTGCGATAACGTTCGTAGATGAGCGATATCGTCTGCAGACTCAAATTACTTTCCACGTGTTTTCTAAAAATGAGCGTCCTTTGAGGTGAAGCACTTGTTTCTAGTACGCCAGACGTATCTGCGTGAGTTTTGGCTACTGCACTTAGCTAGAATTCGAGGTCGGTATTCAGTTCAGTTCAGTTCAGTTTATTGAGGGAAATGTAGGTCTTCACCTTTGAACTCCCTATTTGTTTACAAGCAACTGCAAAATCTCAAAAACTCGAAAAGGTATCATAAAGTAACAAATAATCGGAAAAGCGTCAGGTCTGTACAGACAAACAAACTGTCTCGAATTTTAGTGGTACGAGCAGTTGTAGAGCTGTCGTTTCGAGTGCAGCGAAATAAATAATATGTCCGGGGACAAAATTTGCATATGCGCATGTCAGTAAGCGTAGGCGATGGGTTGGTACAATAATAAGTTCAATTCACAATGTTACTGAAATATAGCAAGTAGTATTATAATAGCGGAATTTGTCGAGGTTACAGAGATCGGGGTGGTAATTTAGTGCACACTGCTACACAAATCCAGCTTCCTCTTAAAAACCTCGACGGAAGCAGACATAACGACATCCACAGGCAGAGCATTCCAGGCTTCTACCACTCTGTTGGAGAAGAAGAACTTTCGTGTGTCCAGTCTGGCCCCTGTCACACGTAGTTTGAATGGATGGCCTCGTAGATTTGTGGTGGTTGCTAACTCGAAGAAGTCACCCGGTACGAGGCTGCAGTCCTGACCGCGTATGATACGGAAGACTTGTATCAGGTCACCCCGTAACTGCCTGTAACTCAAGGGAAAGAGATGAAGGTTAGCTAACCGCGTTGCATATGGTAGTGAACCCTGTCCTGCCACAAGTTTCGTTGCACGCCTTTGAACCCTTTCAAGGATGCTGAGGTCCTTCGCGGTCCAGGGTCTCCAAGCTTGGATAGCAAATTCTAGTTGCGGACGCACAAAAGTTCGAAAGACCTTAGCGAAGCAGTCTTCGTCAAAGGCAGAGAAAGCCCGCTTGACAAGGTAGAGGACTGACATTGCAGACTTGGCTATCTTCGTGCAGTGCAGCGAGGGTTTGAGCGAGGTCGTAATCCATACTCCCAAGTCCTTCTGCGAGTCCACTTCTTGCAGTGGTATACCATTTAGGCAGTAGGCCATATGGTTCGGAGAGCGAGCTCTGCCGACTCGTAGAATATTACACTTTTTCTCGTTGAACGGCAGAAGCCAGGCCTTTGACCACTGTTGGAGTCGATTTAGGTTCGCCTGCAGATGCTCTTCGTCATCTGCAGTTCGAATGACGCTCCAGAGCTTAATGTCATCCGCAAACATGGCGACACCACAATCCAGTTCACTCACGCAATCGTTGACGTAAATGATGAACAAAGTAGGGCCAAGAACTGAGCCTTGGGGAACACCGCTTTCAACGGCAACCTCCGTCGACTTCTGGCCACCGACATGGACAGTTTGACAACGGTTTAACAGGAAACTTTGAATCCATTTTAAGAGGTTACCCCTAACGCCTGTTCGGCTCAGTTTGTGCAGGAGTCGCTGATGTGGGACACTATCAAATGCCTTTTTAAAGTCGATATAGACTACATGCAGCGCACTGCCTTCATCAACTGACCGAGTCCAACGTTCCAAACAGTTGAGCAGGTTAGTCACGCAAGACCTGCCACTACGAAACCCATGCTGCGCATCAGATAATAAATTATGCTGCTCTAGGAAGCGCATCAGCTCTCGCTTGATTATTTTCTCCATGAGTTTGCAGCAGATGGAAGTGAGGCTAATTGGCCTGTAATTGTTTGCAGAGGCCTTGCTGCCTCCTTTATGCAGTGGTGTGATCCGCGCAGATTTCCAGTCGGCGGGCAAGCCGCCGGCTTCGAACGAGGCTTGGAAAAGCATGGACAATGGTTTGGCTAGTTCGGCAGCGAGCTCCTTCAGTAACTTAGGCGGTATGTCGTCTGGACCTGGTGATTTCGACTCATTTAGCGTCATTAGCTCTTTGCGAACCGTCGCTTCATCAAAAGACACAGACTCGATTTTTGGACCCTCATCGAAGTCGTAGTCGGGGGGAGTAAATGGACTTTCACTAGTAAAGATGGATTTGAAAAATTGTGAAAAGTGCTCAGCTTTTTCTCCATCCTCACTAATCTCTACGTCTCCGCTAGTCTTCAGGAGGGGGATTGGATCTCTGTTTCGTGTGCTGCTTCTTATGTAGCTGTAGAATAATTTTGGATTTTNCAGGTACATTCGCATCGTCAAGTGTGTCTAGTTTACATTGTAGAAGGGTTTTCATCTTTTCCATCTCTTCCTCAAGACGGTTGATTTTGCCGGCCAATATCTCGCATCCACTGCAAAATCGATCGGTATGCGGCACGCATTTGCTATCAAGTAAACTTTGCGACATCGCCCGCCGTCGTGCCGCGGTGGCCGAGGGGTTAGCGTGCGCGACTGAGATGCCGATGGTTGGTGGTTCGACTCCGTCATGCAGCGCAATACTTCGTGTGGCTGCGCAAATCGTCATTATGTAGTGGACTTATGCAAAACGGACAGATCTTCAGGAATAACAAGCTATTTCTTAAGGCGCAACTGTGGACAGTGCCTATGCTTATGCTGGATACGCCGAAAATGTCCAGGGAACGCTTTTTTCAGGTAAATCTATGGTAAAGTGAGACAACTCGAGTTGTCCGAATTTAAGCAGCACAGCAAGCAGTGTAGAAATATCGACTCAGCCTTATCGTAGATGTTGCTCCTAACTTCTGTGAGCAATTTGAGACGGTGTTTTGGATGGGTAGGCCCTGTAGACAAGCCGAGATTTCCGACAGATGGACCGTTTTTGCTGAAGTTTGTTCTGATCGAACGATAGAAGTATCGGTGGCGATAGCTGGAGGATCGTTGTCAGAAAGGCGTTTTATAATCCACGTTTTGGTGAAGGACAGTCGTTTTCAGCGAAGAGACTCGATTTAAAAACTTCCGTCTTGCAACTCAAAATTCAAACCGCGCGGCAGTTGATCACTTTCATTCGAACTCCATCTTCCAGGAAACGTGGTCTAGTTGGTGGCGTTAGTAATATTTGCACAGCCAACCTTTGTTGTTTTAATAAGGATTTGCCTTTTATCACAGGTCATTCGACTACGAATTATTTCCGACGGATGGGAGCGCACCTCCGCGTGGAGGATCACGTGTGAGTAGTCGCACAAAGTAGAAATAACTTCACTGCGAAATAATCGATGCCAATTAGTTTGAGGTGCAAGTCTCTCCTTCTAATTAACTCTTAGACGTACAGAACAGTTATCAGGGGGGAAAGAGCCCGCCGTGTGTTGCAATCCTTTCCGTTAAAGGTGGTTTTACAAAAAAACCGATGTCTTGCAGGGACAACGTCAGCAGGTGTACACCCACGCACGCGCGCGACTTCACCTTGCGCTGACAGTTCGCTCGATTCTGACTGGCTGGCTGCCAATCACCGCTAATTAGAACCGTCCAATGAACGTGGCGAAATGTTCTCCACTGTCAACAAATAAATAACCTTGATCGACGCCGCGGCCCTGACTGCGGTTGCTTTACGGAGATTGTGGGTATTCTGTTAGTTCTTTCCTCTTGTAGAAAAACGGTTTTTCGTGTGATTATCTTCTTACTCAAGGTTTTTTTTAAATTAACTTAAAGCTCAGACTGCAGTATGCTTTACTTTTTAGTATGCCTAGTCGGCGGTTAATCAGCTTGATTAAAATTATTAATAGTTTGATTCGAATAATTGCTAACGACTTACTGACAGAAAAGTTCTAGAATGGTAACTTTTAACGTGCCTTGTTTAATTTCCGAGGAAATTAATGCGCGAACTTGGAGTAAATCTTTCGAAACGGGCCTTATCATGCACGCTCCAAATTCTGATATGAATATTTGAGCTGAAATCCATCAGCTACTGCGAAATAACCGCTTAATATTCACAAACCGCCAACAGGCAGCCAGTAGTATAGAACTGTGCAATGATTTACCGTACTAACAACCTGGGCTTTTAGCTAATACCCGTGTACGGTAAATCATTGCACAACTTTTAACATGTTTGGTTCTGTCAACTGCGTAAACGTCAACTTCGGACTGAGAAGAATGAGAATGAAGATGGCGGCCATAATTTTCGGGTAGAGAAGGCAGCCAGTAAATAAAGAGGAGGCATGATCCTTCAAGTTGTTTATCATATAAATTAGCTTTTCAGATGACTTGCAGAATACTGGAACCTCCTACCTTGTTTAGAATTTATAATGATTCATCAACCGATTTGATACAAGCTGCGTGGTTTAATTGTCCACTGTCCTGACAGGTTAAATCATGGCCAAAGTAGGCAAAGGTGTGCAGATTGGTTTGTCCTGGGTGAAGACAAGACCAGGCGACCTTCCGGACGGTGCCATTGAGACACAGCCCGGCGTCTACATCTGCCGCGCCATGCATGAGGGGGAACAAATTCCCGGAAAGTACGTTCCCCGACTCTCGCTCGCCTATGTCTCCTACGGTGGCAAGGAACATCAGGAGAGGGATTGTGAAGTACTCTGTGACACTCATTGCCCCGGACAAGGTTGCTGGTAAGCTGGCAACTACAGATCTCCCCTTTATTTCTAAAAGATGGACAGATGAGTGTCGACTTGTGCACTGTTATATTGTCATCTTCAACGAGTCCGACAATCCAATCCGTTCTCCAATCCGAAGTTAGGGAGATAAGAGTGGTAAAACAGTATTCGCTATGTGAGAGAGAGCGGGCGTGTGTACACTCCAAAACGAGCCACTCGCTGGATTCCCACGGGATCCTGACAGGCGTTATCGGAAGGGGTAATATAGAAAATGCTAACATTTTGTGGTGCGATGACAGACCCGTTTGCCGGCAGAGATCTCGTACACTAGGTCTCATGTCGCCCCCACTTCAAATGATGGTTAAACTTCTGATTATTTGCTGTATGGACCAGGAGGTGCGGAGTGGTGTGCCAAGGTGCGGTCTCTACCGTGCTACTAATCTGCGTCCTTTCCCGAATGCCGTCTTCCTGATTCTCTCCTGGCACCAGATCCAAGTAAGAGAGGAGAAGGAGGAGGAGGAGGAGGAGGAGGAGGTGGAGGAGGAGGAGGAGGAAGTGCGGTAGATGCGGTGTAAGTCTACTACCACTATAAACCAAATCACGTGCAAGTCACCGTCCCTGCCCTCACCCTACTGTGAGCCGCGCGATGGACATCGTCGGTAACAAGGGTCTAACCGTCGTGTTTGCACAAACAGCAACTGCAGGCTTTGTGTAACCAAACAAAATGTGTGTGTGTGTGTGCCTTAATCGTTAAGCACAACATATCACCTACCTTCGTTAGGCTGTATCAAGATCGGGGCTTGAGTTACGTGCGGTGAAAGTGTGTGAACTGGACTCCATGTAGTTCATGTTACAAATCACGATCTTCCTCTTATACAGTCTGTATTGATTTCGGGAGAAGTCCTAGGCCTAATACGTCCCCTTTTTACTGGAGGATATATTCTCTGTGGAACTATTATATACAGGTGTTGTAGATATGTATGTAGGTTTTTTGTTCGAGTCTATATCCTGATCAGTGTATATTGTGGCCAGGCCTAGTCAAACAAGCGAGAGTGCGACCAACCTTCACCCATTCAACCATTAATGCATATGGAAATATGACCGCGCCTTCTGAACGGCGTCCGTTGGCGTGTTGGAACGCGCCCGTGGTGTTGCGAAGACCAGGCGAGTTCAAACAAGAACAATTGAGAGTTCGAGGACAAGATGGAGAAGCCGAAGGTTTAACGTGGCGGCCATGTCAAATCGAATGTCTTAAGGAGAGGCTAGGCGCTCTCAGCCTTTCACACTTGATTTCTAATTCATATGAAGTCGCTTGTATGCCGCTAGGTTGGAGAAGCTGCCGAAATACTATTTACCGAGATCTGCATTCTTGCAGATGATTTATTGTCTTCGCAGTCTACATGCGCTTCGCCAAGACATTGTTTACTGCTCGGAATCTTTTTCTCACTGTTTATCCGACTAGTTAACCGTCATGCCAGCTCCTCTTGATGTTTTACTTCACTACAACATGGTCAACCGGCGGATTTAAAACTTGTCGCACACATACACACTTACATTGTCTGTTTTTCAGCTGTGATTTATGTAATCCTAATTTTCGAGTACATTCCAGGGATATGCTTATACGGCCGACCCATTAGTGAGAAATTCAGCGGTCTCGATGAGGTCCAAACGCGTATCATCAAGTGCAAGTCCTTCCAAGGTCCCCATTGGCTGTTTGAACAAGAAAAAGGACGCCGATTTTGTTTATAATTAGATCGAATAATTTGTGCGTGTCTGCCAAAAACAAAACATGAAATGTTGACCGAGATTCTGAAGTGCGTTTTTGATTAGGAAGGATTACTTTGGCGGGGTTGTCATACTGATCATCATGTGGCACATTCCTACAATATTTCGTACATGCCAGGATGTTGGCTTTTAATGCACTCCTTTTCGATCTCCTGTAGAAATGCACTAGGTAAAAAAATGACCTCTTAAATAGCACGTATTTTTACATTGATTTTCGATGGTCTTGCATGTAGAGCTGTCGACCACGTGGTCTGCCGAAGTGACAGTCCACAGATATACGTGAGCACTCAGGTTAGATGCTGATGATGGCAGCGATGCGTCATCCAGCGAGTCGGCCTGACGGCTGACGCGGGGGTGGCTTATACGATGGCCAGGCGCGTGGTTCGCAATCATGTTCCTTCACTACTTAAATCGATTAGGTAGTTCGATAAAGTTATTCGTTTTTACTAGTGCACACGGAT